TTTTGATTTATGCGAGATAAATACATATATACATATGTGGAGACGTCACGAAAAAATCTCTTCTGAATTCATTTTAAATCTTTTTTGCAGCCGATTCTGAAAAAAAAAGAGTAGTTTATTCTTTTCTTACCTATAGATGTCACGCAAAAACATCTTTAAATTGTATTCGATAGCGGTCAAAATGAATGTTTTCTTTGAAATATGATACCCGAAAATTTTCGCGATTATAATACTTCCTTTACTTCGTATAAGGAAGTAAAAAAAGAGGCTGAAGAAAGAAGGAGAGGAGGGAGAAGGGGAAGAAAATTCAATAACAGTTCTAAGAATGATTGATTTCTTTGTAATTTGAGATGATAATTAAAAAATATGCCGTGTAATTAAATTTAGAGGTAACAAGTTTTTTTTCCAACGCCAAGGCTATTTTTTAACACAAGTTTAACATAATAAACGTTCAACTTAATCACGAAACTTCAATGAGCGTTTCCAACAGCAATTTTTTATCCGCTCTAAAGTTGCCTCTTTTAGCAACTATTTTAGTTTTAAAATAAGAACATTAGAAACATGATAGCCTTCTTGATAGAAGGGCCAAACATAACACTGCATATAATAAAATTTATTGAATAAAAGAACTCACTCATGCTTTAATGACAATACGTCATATGGCTAAAAATAAGCGTGGAAAAGAAATCTTGCCAACTTTGAACTCCCTCTGCCCTTTTTTCACCTTCTATGCTACGTAACATAAGAAATTTTAGACTTCAGTTACGAAAATTTGTGTGAATGGAACATTTAAAATGATGTTTCTAGTTTTAGGAATGATAGGCCATAGTAAAAATTCCATTTGCTTTTATCAGAGGTGCCAACTCTACCGATTACTTTATCGTTTTTTCCGGTCTCCCAGTAGATCACAAAACTTTCTGGTTTTTAATTTTTAAACTTTATGAAAGAAAATGCTTCCGGGCAAGAAATAATTTTTTTTTTAATTAAAAAAATCTAAAAAAAAAAAAAGAAAAAGAAAATTTCATTCCCCAACTTGTGATAAATGCAATAAAGTAATCAATTACTTCTGACCTGAAGAATAGAAAGTAATTGTTATTAAAATACAGGAAGAAAAAAACACATTATGCGCGCGTTTCGGCCTGTGTGCCTATTTCGGCAGTTCGTTGAATCTTTCAAATTCTTAATCAGAAAGTTTCCTGAATCTCAGCTGTATCTTAGAACGCGGTTAAGTTAGTTACGATTATAGAGCCTCGTAGGTAGTGACTTCGTTAGTTATTCATCCTGTCATTTATTTTTAGTTGCATTTTTGTCTATTTTGTTCAACCGCCGGGTCGGCGTAGTTTGTGAGCCTCAAGTGAACGCAACTGTGATTTCTAAAGCGAAATAAAAAGGGAGTTAAACCTTTCTTACGAGTTTGTGTAATTTCCAGTTCATAGCAGTCACTACTACTGTTGCTGACAAGTTGGAGACACCCAACATCACAAGGCATTTGCAAAGAACCGCTGCGTATGGATAGTTTGAAAAACGGGAGAAAAAGATGCAATTTTGTGGTCGACAGGTTTAAGAAAAATATATTAGCTTGGTGGGGATCGTAGCGAGAGGAGTAGTTGCAGGTTAGCAGGTTGGTTTGGTTTATTTTAACAATGGCAAAGCACTCTGGGGATATCTGCCTAAGGGGATGGATGCCTTCGAAGAGGACTTCCTAAGGGAAACTGGCTCATATACATTTTACACTTGGAAAAAACCACGAAAACGCACCTGATCCGTTTGCCAGAATTCGAACCTGGACCAAACTACCACCGTTCAGTGCTCAGTCTCTGGCGGGCCTTCGAAAGTTGTGAAAATTTTAGCGCATAACATGCTTTCTTGCCCTTTTTCTTGCTGCGTATTCCTTGGGCATTTTATATTTCTTTGGTTGACCAGCATGCAAGGCCGTCGTCACCCGTGTTCACCATCACCTTACTTAGAATAAAAAAATAACATTAAATTAAGAGCATAAAGTGCTATTTTAAATTGTAATTTTTCAAAGAAAAATTTCTATCGGCGATCTTCTATCGCGTTCTGCCAAACAATAGGGGTACTGCAGAAGATCGTCAAGCAGAGACATTCCCACCTTGAGACGGCCGTGCCCACATGGTACATTAAAGGTGACCTCTTTGGCCCACATTTAAAGATATATTTGCCCACTCCTGATACAGAGTTTATGTGGTAGATTTGTAGGTTTTTAGTTTCATATGTTAACTTTACGTGTAATATGTTGAATAATTTTCATGTGTTAAATTTACTTGTAATTTACTAACTTATTGTCATATGTGAACTTTAATAACATGTTAAATTTAATTAATATTTTATTAACCAGTTATTATTTTTTCCTTTACTATTCTTTCTATTTTTCTAGACCCCCGCCTGTTACAAATTAGTTGATGAATTTAAGGATTAAAAGAGCATTAGAGCATTTTTAGCAGCTGTCTCTAACCGTATCTGTACTACGTTCCACAGTGTGTGAACTACCTTTAATTAACTTTTAGGCTCACTAAACTTAATTGCTCAGGGGCTGACAAACTTGTAGACACGTTTTGCCTTGTAAATCTCACATTTTAATAATTTAAATTTTATTTTGAGTTTTGTTTCTGTTGTTCACGCAATTGGTAGAATTTAATTTCTGTTATTAACCAAGCTGTGTACTGTTAGACTGAGGAACTAATACAAAGGTTTATTCTTTGTATTAATTTATTCCCTTTCTGCACTAGAGTTATGTTGTTAGATACCGAAAGTTACCGAAATTTGATTATGGCTCTTTCTTTAATCTGAAGAGGTATTATGGCTATCAGAAAATGTAAATAACATATTGTGTTACATTTCCGAATACATATTGTTGCTTCTAAGCCACGAATTCTTTTATGTCGAAGATTCTATTGGGAGAGCTTTCGCTTTCGATTTCGATATTCAATTCAAATTCGAATCACGACTTCAAAGTTACTCTTAAAGACTATTTATTTACGCATATATATTATTTTACTATATTTACATAATTCAAGATTAATTTCAAATAGAATCAAATTCAATTAAGAGAATTCTATTAAGATTCGATTCAAATTCTATTCCCTTCGAATCAAATTTTATTAAGAAAAGCCGAGTAACCGACCGCTCACTTCAAAGTTTTGTTTTCGACTTCGTGTTGCCACTGGCAGAAGCGAAACTTTCGCTCATTTCGCGTTCGAGTTGTAACACTTCTCTCACCTTTTGATTTTTGACAAAGTGTGAGAAAATCAAAACACTTGTGAAATGAAAATTGAAGTAGTAATATAAGATGAGAAATTTAAATCTTCCACAAATTAACAACTTTACCTAGGCATAACAAATATCTGGAATATTTGAAACTTATTTAATATTCTGCAAACTTACATACTTTAAGCAACAGACAAAAAAAATCTTTTCCTGGGTATGTTTCGATCACATGACCCATAGGCCAGTTTATTCTTTTCCTTTTATCGTCCTCTACAAACACTAAATTACCTTTCTTGATGGTTCGCAAAGGTACAGTCTTTGGTTGATGTACTAGCAGTCCAGGATATTCATCTCTAAATCTTGTACGAAATTCCACACGTAACTTTTGGTGGTATCGCCATCTTTTCGATAAGTTGATTTCATCCAAACTGTCCAGATCCGGAACACCTTCAGTTCGAACATCTCGAATAAACATAGATGGAGTGAGTTCACATAAATCGGTGGAATCTTCTTACTCGTATGTTAATGGTGTGGAGTTGATATTTGCTTCTGCATCACACATAATATTTAACATCTCCTTATATGAGAGTAATGCTTTTCCCAGGATTCTTCTCAATAATTTCTTGATCATCTGAACCAGTCTCGCTGCGGTTGGTGGACTTAATTTCCACTGAATTTTCATTGTCAAAGAACTGATAATTTGGTTCCAAACAACAGATTAGAGTAGATTTCTTGCCCTTACAAAATTTGTACCATTGTCGTTGTATACTACTCTTTATGTCGAAGATTCATCTTCCTGCTGTGAATATTGCATAGGCTGTCATCTTCTAAGTGCTGTAAATCTTCTAAATCCGAGGAAAAATCCATTAGTCGATAAGTTTTCAATTAATTCTAAATGAATCGCACGATAAACTCCGCAGGTAAAAAGCAAGATCCAAGCCTTTCTATTTTCCTTTAAATAAAGTGCTGCTACATCAACACTCGTCACCTCAAATGCATAAGCATCTCTGAGTCGATCATCTGGGAGAGGACAAGGCACTGTATCAAGAGCTTTCGCCGAGTGTCTCTTGCATCGAACGCACATGCGGAGATTATCCCCCCCCCCTTCGAATCAAATTCTATTAAGAGAAGCCGAGGAACCGACTGCTCACTTCAAAGTTTTGTTTTCGACTTCGTGTTACCACTGGCAGAAGCAAAACTCTCGCTCATTTCGGGTTCGAGTTGTAACACATATAAAAGCTAAATACAGTGGAATTCCAATTATCCACAAATCTTGTGATCAATTAAAATACCGGATCATCAACATAGTAACAGATAACAAATACGCCTCCTATCACCACTATCATCAAAGAATACAAACAGTAAACGATGAAAATGCATTTTTATTATAGTTCATTTGAAGTAATTCTGATCCATTTCTAATTAGGATGAGAAAACGTTGTAGTACAATAACCTTGGAGAAAATCACAAAAAAACGGTCATAGAGGCAACCGAAGGATGGTAAGGGGGTCGACTTACCTGTGTTCAGCAGTTTTATCTGCTCGGTTGCTGACAGCCCTAGTTAACTTTATAACTTTATGCATTACAAAATGACGTCATAGCTGCAGTTTTATATTTGTTACACACCATTGTTAATTTTAAATTGTATTATTTGCTGAAAACTTGCAATATTTTTCTGAATTGCTACATTAAAGCATTTTATTTTACCAAAAATCATATAAATTTTTTATTTTCACTGCTATTTTTAGTAATTAATACAATATTACTTACAGGTAGATTACGGCTTAACAGAAGAACAAGTGGCTGGTAAGTAATGTGTACTTCAATAAATACTTTACCTTACAACTATCGAAGTTAACTATAAAAATGCAGTCAACCCTTGATTAACCGGGGGCGGATTAAATTTCATGTAAATGAACAGGGCTGTTTTTTTAACAGTTAGGCTTGTATCCTCCGAACAACGAAAAAATTGCTGTTGTTACAGAACCATTTTGAGGATCGCTCATGGATAATTGTGTTTATGTCAACGACTGACATGGAAAAATAATATACAAGGTTTGACAACAAACTTGCAGGTCTCCTACTGGTACGATGAAAGCTAAAGGCACTGCAAGCAAACTGTCCTTATGATTATTCAAAGCAAAGTTTCCTCATATGAATACAAATATTTGATTGCTCCATCAAATATTCAAAAGTAATTTTGAATTATTACCCGAATGTTACTAAGCGGTCCTCATCATTTACAAAATGTCGTATTTCAATGCGATTTTAATTAGGGGAGTATGGAAAGAATGAACGAAGATGAAAATGAAGATTACAAGCCAACTCCGTGGAGAAGAACAGATGGTTGATCTAGAATATCATGATTTTAACTGAGAACCGTGTCTCAGTCAGTACTGAGAATACCGGTGCATTAACATTAAATAAGATGCCACGTTCTCATAGGTATGGCCTCACACAGTGAATTCTCTTTCTTAGGTTATAAAGAATTTCCAAATGCAGAAGGCATAATTAAATTTCTTCGCAATTCCATTAGAACGGCTAATTGAAGACTGAACAATTCTTGAATCTCCTCCAACGTCTTAATTTCCTTATCCAAATGGAGCATGCTTATCAAATACCATTATAAAATAATAAAACTACATGAACGAGGGACAGAGCTATGTGTGAGTAAATATTTTAATAATTTTGCAGATTTATTTTACTAAAATGCTTGATAATTTGATGTAAAATGTGGGAATTGCATGTGGCGATCCATTGCAACAGGAAGCATAGTAGCTGTGATTATTTAACTTCAGAACGGGACAGATCATCATTTTCCCAAATTAAAGCATACTCTGAATGAGAAGAAAGACATAGTTACAATTTGAAATGCATAGATTTTTGCCATTTATGCCAGTAGAAGAACGTCAGTAGTTTTGGAAACTTTGTCATAAAACTCTGTAGCGATGATTTAACTGAAAATGTGTAGATAGCATTATAAAGTATTTTCAGATCTACTGAAAATTCTTATATATTAAACGAACTGAGTAATTTCAGTATGAAACAAGGAGTCACCAGTAAATAATAATATATATTTTCAGAAAATTAAATGTAATATAATTTAGGAAGAACTCCTTTAATTTTAATTCTGAGAGAAGGAACATCTGATTATTTTCAAAAATTAATTATTTTTAGTCCAAAGGGTCAATTTTCCCTGAAGGACTATTAATTTCGTTTTGTCAATTTGCGTTGAAAACTTTAAAAGACTTTATCACTTGAAAACTTTAAAAGACTTTATCACTTTTCAAATCGTTGCCACCAAATATTATCGCCCTGTGTTATATTTGAAGAAATTAAATAATGAAGAATCTGTATAAATGTATGCATGTTTCTCGCATTGTGATAAAACAATGGTACCTAAAGCCATCCAGTTTTGAATGACGTAATCCTATTGCGAATATGGCCATCTGGAAGCCCAAACTTGAAATTTGGAATTTGTTTTAGTATCGATTTCATATTTTGTAAAACTGTAACGAATTTTTGATTATCAAACTCAAGGATATCAAAGAGAGCAATGGCAACGTTGTACAGAAAAAACATTTTTATCTCCAGCGCGCGAGACTCTGTATCGGAAATTCTAAAAATATGCTCAGTTTAAAACTATTTTCGATATTGCTCTTGAACTGAATTTTATGGTTTAAGTGCGAAGAACATAGTATTTAATAAATAAAGGTAACACATTAACGTTATAAAAACGCCCCTTTGGACGTAATTTAATCTGAAACCTTTCAGAGTTTGTTTTTAATTTCTTAAATTTCTTTAAATTAATTATTTCAGTTTCTTAATTCTTTCTAATTTTTATTTTCTAGTTTTTAAATGAATTTGAAAATAGTAAATGCAACAAAGAATTGATATTCTTTATTCACGTGAATACTTTATAATGCTATTTATGTCTAATAATCTTCATTTAAATTTCTTCAGAATTTAAAGAAGCCTTCTTATTATTTGACAAAGACTCAGATGGAATGATAACTGCGGCAGAGTTGGGTGTAGTGATGAGATCGCTTGGCCAGAGACCGTCAGAAATGGAGCTGAGAAATATGGTACACATGGTTGACAAAGATGGTAAGCTATTCAAGAAATAAATTCTTGGCTTTTAAAAATTCAGAACACTGCTATTATTTTATTGCTTTCTTCATGAATGTAAATACGCAGTACACTAGGCAATTTTTATTAATCACTCATACAACATAATTATCGCATATGACTTGAGAAAAGCTAATTCTCGACGTTTTGGGCAGCTACACAACATGCCTGGTATCTCAAATAATCAAGGTTAGAAGCGGTGTCGCAAAATGAGCGCGCAAATTCGAAACCTAGCCATTATCAATTATATACAAAATGCGATACACCAGTTTGTCATAAATGCAGTTAGCAACGATAGAACTCATTACACCATATAGTTTAAAAGAGTACTACAATATGTACTTTCTATTAAAAGAATTCCAGGGCCCATTACGACTAGAAAACAAGGGCGTAAAACCAATAATATACCTTAGATGTCCTGAGGACAGTATCCAAGTCTTCAAGAAGTGAATCTCGACCATCGCTTTTCATTGCGTTGCGTTTAACGTTCTTAGTAGTTTGAAGTGGTAACTACTGCTTGTACTCTGTCATACTGAGAAGAGCTGTACGAGTACTTTTGTGAAAAGTTCCGGAATCGTAAAGTGTTTCTCTCTGGAAAATAAATTTTATGAAACTATCATCAGTTCTGTGTACATTCAATCCGTCCAGCCCAAATACAGAAACACACGTTAAGCATTCTTTAGGATCTATCTGCTAATGATGGAACTAAATTTCCGGTGTTTGTTCGCACAGAACACGACGGCCATCAGTACCAAGTGGATAAAACTGGTACCCATGCCACTGGTACGTACGCATGTAACAATATTTATCTAACTAAATACATACATTACGGTTGCTTTACTGCATTTCGGTTCGAGTGTGCGAGAAAAAATAAATAGCTATGAGAGTAAATTCAAATTAATTTTTATGGAAATGACAGCAAGCGTATTTAATGAAAAAAATTTTTAAATGTAACTTCACAAGAGAAATCAATCGACTTATATGTTATGTTTTCCCTCTCAAATCAATGATTTCGTCGGACAGATGCAATCTGTAACTGTGATTTCTATTGTTATGCCTTAACGCTATCATTTGAAGCAATACGAGATAGAAACTTCCTCTTTTTGAATGACATATCAACAAAAGAATGCAATTTCAGTACAACCAATCAGAAAACAAGCAATTCACGAGTCTGTTACTCGAGATAGCAACCCACGTTCTCTCCTCCCCTTTTTCTTGGTAAACTTACTTTTTCATTTCTCGATGTGTTGTGCATCTTACTGTTCACCGTTTCATAAAACCAAATCCAAATCTTCATAAGATGCATTTTAATTTTCTCTGATTAAATCAAATTATGTATTTTGATCTCTATCGATTTTATTCAATTTTACATTATCTTACACTTACTAATTTATTTATTTACCATCAGATGAGCAGCTGCAAAATAAAAATACATATGTAATTCAAAAATACGTATGTACGTGCGTTTCAGATGTTTGAGTGAAACAGATTTGGGCCTCTACAGATTCGAAATAATTAAGCGCGGAATTATTGAGTTTTTGGAAGGTTTCATTGCCCGCATGTCTCTGTACAGTTTCTCCCAACGTGTGAATTACTTTCATCGGCTTAAGCTTTGCTAGATGTAATTTTCTCTCAAGTGAGTTTTAACTATCTTAAAATTTAATACTTAATTTTATTTTATCTTTATTTCTGTTATTCTCGCACGCTGCTGTGATAGTTTTTGCTATTATGGAGATTCTGTGATTGTTAAGCTGACGAACTATTAAGACGATGTATACGTTTTTCTGTATTAGAGTTATTTTAACGAAGGGCGATAAGTCATCTGAGCGTTTTCACGGATCCAGAGATTAATATTTAAAATAATTAACTTCCATATATGTCTAAAGTTTGTCTTTTTAAGACGTTTCTCAGTTATTACTCGTTTGGTCTGAAATTTTCACATAGAAATTACTTCACATGTCATGTAAATTAGTTCAAGTGACGCTCCTTTGATACACTTAGTCGTCAGTTGAAGAACGAGCAATCATGTCATGCATTCTATGAAAGATTTAAACATTTCCTTTTCATTTTTGCTACACAAAGCTTTCATTTTTGCTACTTTTCTGTATTGCTATTTTTGTCTCTTAAAATATTAATTTTTGTCATATTCACAAATAACAGCTTTTATGATATTCAATTCAACTTCAGAATTTTGTTTCCTCACTGAACTCGCTGCAAATCGACCTCGGAATTTCCATCTTTTTTAATAAAAGTAAGATTCAATGTCCAGGCATCTTGGTGATCCAGCCCGTAGTATTAAGGCCATTTTTGTCTTATATTCTGACTAATATTGTTAAATTTTCTTTTTTTCGTCGTGTAAAACATTATTAGAATCTATTACAAATTCTTGTGGTTTCAGTTACAAAAGTTTCGACTTTCTATTATAGCTTTTAGTCATATTGTTTGCGGTAGCATTAATTAAACAAATAATTAACAATAATAACGTTATATTCATTTAAGCATATGCATAATGAATGCATAATGACTTCTTCTAAGCATATGCATATGTAAGTTTTGAAATTTCCCAAACAACTGCTTGTAATTGTCAATCTCAAATGAAATTTTCCCAAATATAATACAGGCATTATATGTTTTAATTCATATGTAATTACACAAAGATACTCTTGAGACTTCAAATTAAGAACTAAGTTACACCGGTATTTAATTACTATTTAACATATTAATACTGTTTCTTCTAAAATTCTTATTACGCAGTTAGAGAACATTTTATTTTGAATTACAGGTAATGGTACTATTGAATTCGATGAATTTCTTAGTATGATGTCCAAGAAGCTTCAAGAATCTGATAGCGAAACTGAACTCAGAGAAGCTTTCCGTGTGTTCGATAAGAATGGCGATGGTTTTATCAGTCCTTCTGAGCTCCGTCACGTCATGACCAACCTCGGTGAAAAGTTGACTGATGAAGAAGTAGATGACATGATCAAAGAAGCAGATCTTGACGGAGATGGGTTAGTTAATTACAACGGTACGTTGTTTTCACTAATTTTAATTATGTGAACTTCCTTTGGTTACGCGAAAATTATTAAATCACAAGCTATTTTTCTGAACTCCAGTTATATTACTGTATTAGATTTAAATGTCACTTATAACAGTTTGAGAAGTGGCTTCCTAACTAATTAACTTGTTGCTTATCCTAGAAAGATCTGACATATGTCAGATCAACCCCAGAAGGTTGTTGACTGCCAAAAGTCTATAATAATAAGGGGATCGGATGTAATGAGCCTCTTAGAAAGTCTGATGCAGCTCAGAATGCGATCCGGTGAAGCTGGATGGTCACAGCATTTTCTACAAGTTGGGGGGCGGGATTTTTCTGCCACTATCAAAGAAAATACATTTAGGGTGGTCACTTGTTGTTAGTCTAACCAGAGCAGTCTGGGCAAAGATTGTCTAAGGCTCCTTAGAAATTCTTTGGTCTGGGAGCCACGGTCGCATTTGATTTCCAGCAGAAAGCCAGGGGATGTTTTTGAACTAATTAAATACCTCTACCAACTCTTTCACCCTCAGACATTACCTTACTGTGGTGGCCAGTTCTTAACTACTGTTACTTTGGTTAACTTAAACTGCTTGTGATAAGAATTTTTTTTTCTTTTTTTCTTTTTTTAATATACGCAAATATTAACTAGTATAACCCAGAAAATTCAAGACTTCTTGACTTATGTCTATTGACTAACAAATTAACTGGCTACAGCACCATTGCCACTGCTCTAAGCTAGAATATGATCATGAGAATAATACGAGTATGAATATTTTTTATTCATACTCATTCAGTCATTTAGATTGCTTTCCAAAACTTAAGTTGCTTAACCTAAGTGGCAAACAGTGTGTACGCTTTATCAGGCCTAAAAAATTTTGCAAATCAAATTTAAAAGATTATGAAACAAAACAGTTTTGAAACTTTGAAAGGGGAGGAGGGAAACATTTATGTCGTATGAAAGCGAAAAGCTAAAAAATATGAACAAATAATAGCTCGTTAAGAGGCGGAACGTTCTTGGAAATGCTTCTTTGGATTTGTTTCCGTAAAATCATTTAAATGATTACCGCATCTTTCTTGGCAGTGATGCCAAATGAAATTAGGGAAGAATGTGTAAAAATAGTATCTTCCGAAATGATAGCGTGATGCCTATAATGAGTTCTTTCTTTTCTGTCATGGCTACAGTAAACGCCAGGCGCTGAATTCTTTCATCCACTGATAACCATAGAAACAAATTTTACCTCCTGAGTTACACACGCAATGATATGCTTTCGATTCACGCTCTTCTTCGGAAATCGTTATTTCCTGTGTTGGAGGCTCAAATATTTGTTTTATCCGAATTAAGTCTAAGTTCACATCATTCCAAAATACTCCACCAGCATATCATATATAGGGATTGATGTTTTGATCAACGCAACCTGGAATGTCTGGCAGAAAGCGCATTTCTTCAATATAGTCAGTGTTCTTTAAATTTTCCATAAATCAAGTGGAACAAAGGAGATAAATGTCAGATAATCTAAAATCTGGATTTCTGAATGTGATATGTATAACAATCGTTTACATTTTTAAATAAAATTACCCAATTTAAACAGCTATTTTTAAATCCCAGTGACCGAAAAATGCTAGGATAAGTATTAGTCGGAAATAGCCCAATCCATCCATGACTTTCCTAAGCACAGCTTATTAAGGTTACAATCCATTGGCCGCCTCATCACAGAGAACGTTACCTAGGGTTTAAAACAGATGGCGACAATTACGCTTTAAACAGTGAATGATTAACTTCTCATTAGTAAAAGCAACACTGCAGTGTGAGGAAATATGTCAGACAATAAAATGTGTCAGCTGTCAGTTACATTAATTTTATAAAAGATGCCGTGATTTTGTTAAAAAGCAAAAAGCAATAATGGTAATAAGAAGGCTAGGTATGAATATTATTGATAGTTTGTCTGAATGGTAGATGCTAGGTGTTTCATACTGAAAGGGACAGAAAAAAAAAAAAAAAAATTTTTACAAAGTCCCACAAAATAAAGGCGTCTAACGCATTCCCTACTTAATATGCCTCATGTAACGGTGTAGCATGTATGACGGAAACGTCTTCACGGCCAGACAGCTTTCGGATGGTCCAGGCGTTAAAACCTTCCGACAAACCGCTGCCTAAAGCTTTCTGTGAGAATTTGCAACCTAAACTGAAGGTGAATGGTTTCGCGAGCAGACTTGTGTTTACGGTTGAAGCCACGTTTCATGTTTCTGGCAAAGTTAATAGCCATAATTTACTATTTTAGGGGACGGAATATCTGCATGGTGTAGGGGAACATGAGAGCGATTCTCGAAAGGTGAATGTTTTCTGCGCCATTTCCATCAATTGTGTTTTTGGTCCTTTTCCTTCGGGAAAAAATTGATGAATGGGTGCATTTACCAATATGTACTAGCAGAGTGGTAGTTCCTTCATTAAGAGGAAGTGGTTCCCGGCTATTGTTCCGTATGTGTTTCAAAATGTCTTTCGAATTACTGACAACAAATATGAGAGACCAAGTGCAACTTTGTAGCAAATTTCATTTCCGTCTAAGTTAACTCTGTCGCATCGAGAGAGGGCAAAATCTCTTTTCCCCAAACATCTAAAACGCCTGCGTCTACGAATTTCTCCTAGAATGCTTTTCCTCCCCCCCCCTATGACAAATTGAATACTACAGGGCTAACAATAACCTACTTAAGTAAAGCGAGAACTTCTTTCTTGGATGCTTTCACCCTGTGTGAGGTTCCCCCTTGGGAGGTGATGCAACTTCGGGCATCAAAAGCTAAACATTGACAGTAAACAAAGGAAAGAAAAGGTGAATTAAAATAACAGAACTACTTTTAGTCTCTTCAAAAGAATCACTGGCATGTCATTTAACAACACCTCAAAGCAATGAGCAATGCAGTAACGTGATGGGGGAAAGCACTAGGCAGGAATTTATTCAGGCGTTTAGGGTATCCAGCGGATGTCTGAATGCGAGTCCAGACCGATTTTCAATTTGTAAACTTTCATTGCAACGAACAGTTGACATTATGCTCTAGAGGAAACAATTTGTATCACTCTTGCTACAGATATAATTTGTAATCTGGAAATTTTGGTAGGTTAACTATAATTTGTTTCGTAGTATGTAACACGTATTGTTATTGTTTTAATAACACAAAAATTTTCTAAATTTCTTTATTTATTTCCAGTTCTTTTGAAAATATGAAGACAGAGAACGAAAATAAAAAAAAGAAAATACGAGCATGAAAATAGAAGTTTTAATAATTAGTGGAGGGAGAATTTCTTTTTTATTGAAAATAACGGAAAAGCATTATTTGTTATTTATAACTCTACTGTCAAAAATTATAAAGCTAACAATTACGTCGACATTATGAAACCAATCATCCTCAGTTTTCTAATCAGTATCCAGCAAATTCCAAATTAAGATCAGATAAACTTGTTTCTTTAAAATCAAATTTAAATACACGACAGTCAATTTTGATGACTTTAGCAATCAAGCTGAAGCCAGTTTTGTTATTGCCTGGAATATTGCTGTAAAAAAAAAAAAAAAAAAAAAAAAAAAAAAAAAAACTTAAAAGATGTACTTAAAGTTTTAGAGTTTTAGATCCAAATAATGCAGCATTGCACAAAGTTGTTTCCCATCTCGAGACACACAACCGAACGACGCATAACTGCAATTAAAACATCTCTTGAATATAATTTAAAAAATGATTTGAAGAACTGTATTGCATTCAGCTTAGCCCTTGACGAATCGACAGATATCACAGATCTTCCACAATTGGCAGTTTTCATATGTTTTGTTTCACCTGAATTCGTTGTTAAAGAAGAATTATTAGATTTAGTAGCACTTCAAGAGTCAACCCGCGGTGTGGATATTAAAAATGCATTAGATTCCATAATGAAAGCTTTTGATGTGCCTTTTAATAAACTTGTAAACATTGCAACTGATGGAGCTCCGGAAATGCTGGGTAAAAAAAATAGGTCTTATTGGGTTTTTCAGAGATGATTCTCCAATTCCACAATTCATACCGATTCATTGCATAATTCCCCGAGAACATCTCGCTACAAAATATTTAAAATATCCTGATGTTACAAAAACAGTGTTACACATTGTAAATTACATTCGCACCAATGCAAAAAATCATCGACAATTCAAAAATTTCCTTGAAGAATTACTGTACGAAGAATTTCCAAATGACATTAATTTCTTTTCCATTGTTAGATGGTTATCTAGCTACAACGTATTAAATATATTTGTAGATTTGTTTGATCCGATAATTGCATTTATAAAAGAAAAGGAAACAACTTATTCAGAAGTAAACGATGACGAGTGGTTACAAGACTCAATGTTTTTGACTGATGTCATGGAACATATGCAAACACTGAATTTACAATTGCAGGGGAAAGATAAAATAATATCTGACCTCTCACAGTGTATATTTAGTTTTCAAACTAAATTACAACTTTTTCAAAAGGACATTAAAAATAAAACATTTTGTCATTTCCTCGAATTAAAATATTTGTTCCAATATTAAAAAAGAAAAACTCAACGAGTATTTAAAAAAGATAGAAGGAATATTCACGGAATTCCAAAATAGATTTCAAGACTTGAAATATTTTAAATCGTCTCTTGATTTTTTCTGAATCCATTTGAAATTAGCATAATAATAATTCAAGGTGAGTCCATTTCCAATATAATTATGACCCAAAAAGCATCTGGAGAATTAGAATTAATAGAGATGCAAGAAGATCAAGCTCTACAATTAAAATATAAGTCGACACCCATTACTGAATGTTGGAAATTTGTACCAAAATCGAAGTATCCTGAATTAAAAAAGGCTGCTTGTCGAATATTTCAATATTTGAAACAACGTACTTATGTGAATCGTTTTATTCCACTTTAAAATTCTTGAAATCCAAACACCGATCAGTATTAACTAACCAGCATCTCAAAGAATTACTGAGAAGTGCTGTCACCAATTATTCACCAAATTTTAAAGAATTATCAGGAGAAGTAAAATAAATGCGTTTAATTTTTAATATTTAAATTCAATATACATATTTTGTACTTTTATTTGTATGTTTTCAATAACTATAATGTAAAAAAATTTTTAATGCCTTTTTTTGCATACCTTTTAAATGCAACTCACGAAAAATTTCAATTTTGAAAAATGGCTCGGACTATCAAAGAGCTAGGACAACCCTGACATAGACCTGACAATCCTGACCCTATAAAACGTGGATAACTATAGTAAGTTTTTGGCTATATTGTAAGAGGTTTTTCTCCTTTCTTGCCGCGAGCCTTATCAGTGTAACTGGAACATGTCGGATAGCAATCGTGAGACCCGGGCTCGATTCGAGAGCATTGCCCATTTTTCCCATTTCCTGCGTCGAAATAAACCTAATGACTGTGCTATATTACATATTTATTTACAGCATTGTACTATTTAAAAATTTGTATACCAGTTATACAGCTAGTAGTCGGTGTAGAATTATAACGTCTAATTCATAGTGTGTGATTTATCTTACCAACATTTCCCAACAGGGCGATAAGAATGACAGAAATCAATTGACTGGCCACCATGCTATACAGATCTTACTCCTTTTCAGATTTCCTCTTCCATTATATTGTTACAGGTAAGATAGTTTCCAGAAAGCCACGTGATGGTTGACATCGTTCAATTTATATGAAAAAAAAAAAAAAAAAAAAAAAACTGAAATGAAACTAAAAACGTTTCGCATAATATGCTTGAGTGTCCAGTCCAGAATATAAGAATGTGGAAACGCCGAAGATAAAAAGTACGACCGGTGGAGAAATAAATATTCAGAATTTAAATTACATCAGACAATTGCAATTTGAAATATTCAAAGGAAATCACACAAATCAAACTAGATTGTATTGTACTTTGTGTTCCCTTACTCGGCCTTTATTTTCGCAACCGTGGGTCGCAGAAAGACTTGTACTTCAAATGACAAAAACTTTTTAAATAAACGCAAGTATTTGCTTTTCGCACATTTAGATTTTTAAACAGTCATTTTGGTAAAAGTTGGGAAATATAACTTTTTATGCAATCTTCAAGTCTTTGCACTGATAATTAGGAATTTTTTTTACTCATTATACAAATTGATACATAAAAAGAGTGACTTCTGAATTAATAGAAAGAGTGGTTATCATACGACGAAAATTGACTGAGAAATTTAATTTCAAAATTTGTGACTTTTGACGTTATATTCAATTTGCACTGAGGGAGTGTTCAGCAAATAAATTAGAGTAACTCGAGGTTAGGTTTGCCTCCTTAAATGCCATTCAGTGATAGTCGCTTGTGATTTATTAGTGACTTTTAACTTAGAATTTTGTTACAAATGGCATGCCGAAAAAAATTTCACACAAATAATTTTTTAGTTTTTCAAAGCTTAAACCAATTTATTAATATTCTTATGGTGTTTTATGCCATAATCTGGTAATCAAACAAAGGTTTTTCATTTTTAATTAATGCAAATTATATTACGAGTTGGCTACGTGCCAAAAATAAACCCTGCCAGTGTTTTCTAGAAAGCGAATTCTATAAGATTCTGTGAATAATGTCTTCATTTAAAAAAAAAAATAATACTTAATCATATTTTTCACATTGATCTTACTAGAATTACTCGTCGTTTAATCTCTTAAAGTTAGAAAAATTTTTCTAAACATAATATTATTTTTAGTTAGGTGCGAATGCAAACATTCCGCTCTTCAACTTGTATACGGCCCCTGAATATAATCTGTAATTTTAACATGAAATATGTCGGTCAATTTTTGTCGCCCTTCGCACATTTTGTGTTTTATTTTTATGACTAGTATAAAATTTTCATAAGTATAGGGACCAAAGGAATAAAAGTAATTTTCATTAAATTTAAAAATGCCGAAACATGAATATTTGCATCATTTGAAACATTTTGTATTTGGAAGTATATTGTTACGAAATACCCAGCTACAGTTAGATACCTTCCCGCAAAGCGGGTTTAGGGTTGCCAGAAAGTGGGAAGGAAGTGCGTGGTTGCCAGAGTTGGCGCGAAATCGCCATTTTGGCAATATTTAGCGACAAAATTGGTGATACACCATAGCCGGAGCGAGAACATTCTAGTAGAACTAATTCTTACCAGTTCTCCCCAGTATGCTCTCGAAGGCAGATCAAAAGTCCTAAATACACTGCCTGTATGAGGAGTAGAAGCGTATCGTGAAGAGTATCTGTAGTATGTTGAGTTCAGTAGTAGTGTTTTGAGTTCAGAGAACAACCAAAGAGTCGGGAGCTCTAATACTTTAGTGCTTTGCCGTGAAGCTGTCTTTACCGTTATAGTCGAAAAGTTGTGTTGCTGGATTATTTCAGCATGTTTGTCATAGTTTTTCGACTACTGTAAACGTGTTTTTTGGAAATGTTCTCAGTAATACTGGTTAATAAATTATGTCTTGATTCTTCATCAAGTGTTGCCGTCAATCATTCGAAATCCACGAGCCCGTAAAACGCAACAATATGTTTGCTACCGAAGGGTGCGAAAATAAAGACCGAGTAGCGAATTGTGTGGAAGCGGTATATAGTAAAATGACTTACATTTAATACCAGTTTTACGAGTATTATCCAGTTCTTATTACTTTAAATCAAAACCATAAAAAATTAAGAACTTAAACCTTTATTTATTTATTTACTTCTTAAATAATGTGGAGTTTTTTTTAATTCAATCTCATAACGCAGTTTTATTTTTTCAGAATTTGTGTTCATACTAACATCGGCTAAATGAAGCATACAGAAATTTTTTCTTGTTGGTGAAGAAAGATTTTGAATCGAAGGTCGTCCTGCCAGATACTGTTTCGCAACGCCTCCTCTTCAAAATTCAAAAGCTCCCAAAAATATTTCTCGGTTTCCTGAGTTCATGCTGTCATCCGCGAGTGGTGAATATACTTTTAGCATCTGGTGTGATGAGGAGGGTTGACGCCCACAGTTCGAACACAACATCCGAGTTTCTTTTTGTATCGCTGCAGCTTTTATTTGCATCACTTTCACAGTGAACGCACGCATGTATCTCAGAATTTGGAAAATTTTCATGACTGTTCTTGCTTTATTTTATGCATTGTGGTTACGATAAATGTTCTGAAACAGATACCATGCCACTCACCATAAATCATGAAAAACAATTTACACTTTCATATTTATATGTAACATTTCCAACGCCTACAATCATTGGTTGCAGACATACACTTTGGCTTACAGAAACGTTTTAAATAACGCAAATATTCACGTTTTAGCATTTTTTGTTTAAAAATTTCTAAATTTTTATACCATCCTCTGGAAGGATGCACATTTTGTGTTTTATGTATGGAAATATATCTATTAGTATGGATATTTTGATTAATTTTTGCAGTGTAAATCATACATTTCGTATTTTATTTCTTAAAACGAGTTTAATATTTTTTCTAGATGTAATAACAGGTACTAGGAGATATTATAGGAAGTTAGATTTATTAAATTTTATAAGAATTTGTTTTTTAAAATTAAAACATGGATATTTGCATCATTTCAATCAATTTTTAATTAATAGTATATGTCTATGACCAAATGACGTCTTGTAAATAAAAGTCGCGTAAAGATTTTTGTAGATATATAGATTTTATTACTTCCAAAAATTAATAATAATCATATATTTCAATAATTATCCCACTAACTAAAACATGTTCATGTGTTACAAACAATTTATACGTAGTGTATGTTGGCAGGAAATTTAATATTGTATACTGACGTTTAAAAAATGTTGCCAAATGCTAAAAAATGTGCGTGCCTAAAGGTTCGTAACAGACTGAATGCATAAGACCGATAAAAAGTTAGTAAAATTTATTCTTATCACAAGAAATATAACAAAACACTAGATTTTTTCCTCAAAGATATTCGTACAATATCACACACTATTTTAAACTACTTGACGCTTAAATCGAGCGCAATCCAAAGTGCAGAGAAAGCTAATCCGATTTCTTCGCGAATTCGCTACAATCAACAACAACGATTAATAAACTCAGCTGAGATGTTCTCTCTCTGACTTTCATAGCTTTTTAAATCGGGCGCGCGAGACAATTCTAACAATTCCTGAAAAAAATCTGATGTGCACACCACATGACTTCCTTGCGCGGAATATTCAATTATACGCATTTTTCTCGCAATTCATTTAAACTTATTGGATTGAATTAAATCTACATCGTCGATAGCGCATAAAGCATAATAGAATAAATGCACTCTTTAAAATTCACTATATTTGTTTACCATATCGAAAAACTCTGGCGCTAGCTTCACTTAACAGCGTTACATTTCGTCCATATTATAACTTAGAATGCATATAAATTTATATCATTCGAAGAATTATCTAATCTTTGCCACATGTTCTATTCAAATACTATAATAAATCTAAAACGATGTATAAAAGAAATTAAGCAAACAAAACAAAAAAGAAACCGTTTTTCACTGATGATTCAGTATTTCTCATTCAATTAATTCAATTCTCACTTCCCGACAAGGCAAAATACATAACTCAAAATATCTATATTAAAAATTACGAAGTAAATTTGAAACACTTATTTCCTCGAATAAATTCCAGACTGGATTGATTAAGCAGGATTTAATTCGCAATAATAGAAGAAGGCGTTATCTTTGTTGTTGCGAAGCTTAGTTTCCCTAGATTGGCAACAAATCCGCTATTTTGCTAAATTTGAAATATAAACAAATATGTCCGCCATCCGCAAAATTCATTAGGCTTAGCTGCACTTAAACAACTTTTAAATTGTTGATAACTCCATAACTATTGCTTGCAGATTTACTAAAGGCATAAAAACCTTAACCGGAAGATAAAAACAACATAAATCAATCCTGTTTAAAGCAAAAAATGCACAATTTACAAACGTAGAAGAATAAAGAAACTGAGTTCACTGAGCTGAGTAACAGAGTGGATATATATATACATATATTTATATACTTTTGGTGCGGCCGATTGAAACCAAAATACGAGGTGCATATCTACATGCTATGGCAGTCCTACATACAAAATTTCAACGTTCTGAGGCTACTCGCTTTTGAGTTACGCGAGATACGTTATGCAAGATACGTACGTATGTACGTATGCACAGATATCACGAAAAATTCTCTTTAGAATTCATGTTAAATCAGTTTTGTTTATAATTTTTTTGGGGGGAAAAGAGTCTTTTATTTTGTCCTTACTTGCGGATGACACGCAAAAACATCATTAAATTGCATTGAATAGAGGTAAAAATCGATATTTTCGTTGAAATATGATACCCGAAATTTTTCGCGATTACAATACTTCCTTTTTACTTCGTACAAGGAAATAAAAAGAAGAGTATAATTACGGTTGCAGCTAACATAGTACTTAATTACATTTATTCAAATTAAATGTCAATTACAGAGATAAACTTTTATTCAATGTTAAATGCACGTGGTCTTGTATTTTTACAGTAACAATATTCTAGAATGATTGATAATAGAGTCCTAATCCCGGTTTCAAAAGTGTGTAAAATAATGTAACTTTGATCATCTGACACTTTTTGGTAAAAATATACGGAACGTAGTTTTAGTAAGTACTCTATAAGAAGAAAGTTCTATGAAAGTTCTATGAGAAAAATATCCTTTATTACTTCCTTGTACGAAGTAAAAAGGAAGTATTGTAATCGCGAAAAGTTTCAGACAGCATATTTTAACGAAAATATCCATTTTGACCGCTATCGAATGCAATTTAACAATGTTTTTGCGTCATATCTGTACGTAAGGACAGAATAAAATACTCTTTTCCTTCAAAAAAATTATAAAACTGCTTTAAAATTAATTCTGAAGAGAATTTTTCGTGGCGTCTGTACGAACGTATGTGCGTACGTACGTATCTCGCATAACTCAAAAACGAGTAGCCTCAGAACGTTGAAATTTTGTATATAGGACTGCTATAACATGTAGATGCGCACCTCGTATTTTGGTTGCAATCGGCCGCACCAAACGCATATAAATATATTTATATATATATCCACTCTATTACCCGGCTCAGTGATCTCAGTTTCTTTACTCTTATATGTTTGTAAATTGTACATTTTTTGCTTTAAAAATGATTGAATTATGTTGTTTTTATCTTCCGGTTAAGGATTTTATGCCTTTAGTAAATCTGTGTGCAATATTTTTAGAATTATCAGCAATTTTAAAGTTGTTTAATTGTCGCTAAGCCTGTTTTGGCTAAATCGCAGAATAGGCAGCATCAGTCGATGCTGTGTTTATTTCTTATGGTTGGACACGCCTTTTTATGACGTAATATTGGTTACGCCTCTCCTTAAAAACAAGTTATATGTATACTATAGCTTTGTATTTAAAGAAAACTTAAATGAAGTTTTAATTGAGTTGAACTGGTAGGTTTATAATGTTCTGCGCGAGATTTTTTTAACTATAAATCTACTTTTGTGTGGTGTGTGGTAGTGTCAGCATTTAACGCAACGAATTATCTCTGACAAATGTATTATTAAGATACCAAACGATTGAAAACGATCATTAGCAAACGATTGAAAATATTGAATGCATGAGTTAAAAATTATAACCGTAACTTCTGAAAATACAGAAAATAATTCTTTTGCTTAAAGAATGTTTTGATTATTGATGAGTGTGTCAAAATCGGTGCTTACTGCAAGAAGGGATGAGTATCTGAATTTGGATTTTTTTAATCAGTTGGAGCGAAGAGGCAAAAAAGAGCGTTATTGAGTGGTGTATGGAGAAAAGTTTGATTGCAATATCGTATAAGTGCCCAATTTGTGGAAGAAATATGAAACTAGTAGAGAGACGGTTTTGAGACGTATAGACGATTTTGAGTGGTGCGCAATGCCGAGTTTGTGCAACTCTGAGATGTTTTTTTAAGTGAAAATTGATCGATGTGCACATGGGCAAAGCCAATGGTGCGCGCGATGCCGAGTTTGTGCAATTCTGAGATGTTTTTTCAAGTGAAAATAGATCGATGTGGACATGGGCAAAGCTAGTCTGGTGCGCAATGCCGAGTTTGTGCAATTCTGGGATTTTTTAAGTGAAAATAGATCAATGTGTACATGGGCAAAGCCAATGTGGTGCGCAATGCCGAGGTTGTGCGCGATGCCAAGTTTGTGCAATTCTGGGATGTTTTTAAGTGAAAATAGATCGATGTGCACATGGGCAAGCCAATGTGGTGCGAAATGCCGAGGTTGTGCAATTCTGAGATGTTTTTTCAAGTGAAAATAGATCGATGTGGACATGGGCAAAGCTAGTCTGGTGCGCAATGCCGAGTTTGTGCAATTCTGGGATTTTTTTAAGTGAAAATAGATCGATGTGTACATGGGCAAAGCCAATGTGGTGCGCAATGCCGAGGTTGTGCGCGATGCCAAGTTTGTGCAATTCTGGGATGTTTTTAAGTGAAAATAGATCGATGTGCACATGGGCAAGCCAATGTGGTGCGAAATGCCGAGGTTGTGCAATTCTGGGTTTTTTTTTTGAGTGAAAATAGATCGATGTGCACATGGGCAAAGCCAGTGTGGTGCACAAAACCGAGTTTGTGCAATTCTGGGATTTTTTAAGTGAAAATAGATCGATGTGTACATGGGCAGAGCACTACAGACCAGGCTTCCGGCCTCAGGTATGGGCAAAGCCAATGTTGTGCGCAAAGCCGAGGTTGTGCGCAATGCCGAGTTTGTGCAAATCTGGGATGTTTTTTTAAGTGAAAATATATCGACGTGCACATGGACAAAGCCAGTGTGGTGCGCAATGCCATGTTTGTGCAATTCTGGGATTTTTTTAAGTGAAAATAGGTCGAAGTGTACATGGGCAAAGCCAATGTGGTGCGTAATGCCCGGTTGTGCGCGATGCCGAGTTTGTGCAATTCTGGATGTTTTTTTAAGTGAAATAGATCGATTGCACATGGGCAAAGCCATGTGTGCGCAATGCCGAGATTGTGCAAGCTGGGATTTTAAGTGAAAAGAATCGATGCATGGGCAAAGAGTGGGTGCGCAATGCCGAGTTTGTGCGATTCTGGGATTTTTTAAGTGAAAATAGATCGATGTGCACATGGGCCAAGCCAATGTAGTGTGCAATGTCGAGGTTATGTGCGATGCCGAGTTTCTGCAATTCTGGGATGTTTTTG